AAAGAGCGGACTTTTTGTTTACAGAGAGAACAAAAGGAGAATTCGTGGGTTTAAGAATTTTCGATTCGGAAGGCCAAACCTTGTTTGTTCATATGTGGCAAATATGAAGTTTGATGGACTGAGAAAAAACCATTTTTTGGTCTATTTCATTCCACGCTTCGAAAATATTCGTCTTCTCCGTATTTTTTGTCCCAGAGTGTCTGTTCTCGACCTTACTTCTTAGTCAAACCTGATCAAACTTGAAGGCTTCTTGAATGTAATCGTCGTGCCAACGAAAATCGCAATTTTTCGAAATTCTCTAAAAAAGCATCAAAAGCAAACTTTGAAGCGCCATGGTACTTTCTTGGATCAAAGCAAACACTATGGACGGTGTTGGGAGTTTTTAGCATGACATACGCCAATTCACAGAGAAAAGAAGAAATTACAGTTGTGTAAAAATCATTTCGGACATTGAAAAAAATGATGTTTGCCTTCTAGCTCGCCCATTCTCAATCCCACAAATACTCCTTTTCGTGAGTCTGAAAGAAAAAAGTCTGATCTTCAAAACGCATTCTATTTGATTTGCCATAAGAAGAAATGGTAAAAGTTTGGGACCCAAAACCAGTGCGCGATCGAAGAATTTTTGGTAAAGAATTGAAAGAAAATGAATGATTTTACCAAGACCAGAGAAAAGTATCTAAGAAAATGTTTGAAAAGGACTTATACAGAAACTTTTTCCCTATCAGATGAGTACAAAATCTTCTGATTTCATTTGTTCCTTGCGAAGTTACAATATTTTTTTGTTGTGTCACACTTCATGTGGACCACCCTGTATATAATTATGTCCAGCACTATAGAAGTGTCAGAACGAAAATGTTCTAAAGCCCATCTGAGATTGAGCATAATGAGCAGAAGTTTCATACCAGTCGTACCAGAACGATTGGGATCATAACACAATTGCTGTAATTCAGCGAGGCCAATGTGGGCTACCGATGCTCTGTACTCCTCTTGCTGCCAAACAATGTTGACCAACAGGTCTTTACTCCTTATGAGGTTTTTTCTTTTGCGTCCGTTCGGGAGGTTCCTAAAAGCTGTAAATCCCTTGTTTAGCAAAAAGTCGACGGTACTTTGCTCGTTATCACGGTATCACTGTTTTTGACGATAAAAAACATACAAGTCTTTTTAAAGAAAAAACTGAAAAGTGTTGTCGCGTATATTTAACATTTCGCTATGAAAGTACCAGGATCGTGAAAGAAGGTCGTGGCTGTCCTAATCCCAAAGCGTGCAAAAGAGTCTCACAAAATGTAAATTACCGGAACTTACACCTATGAGTACCCTTTGATTCAACGGGATTGGCGGCTGGAAAGCGGCGGCTCAAGGTTCAATCAAGGCAAGGGAATGATCAAAGAGCACGCTCGCGAGAGAGACGCGATTGCGTCGCGGGTGTGAGCGGTTTAAATTGAAGGGTATAACACCATGTAAGATAACGGGAAAAACTTCTGCTCATAAGATTCTGGATTCGACAGTGAATCGAATTTCTTTTTGATCAACAGCACATGATTGTTCCTGGATCTTCAACGACCATTCATTTGATAGGATGTCTAGCTTCTGATTGTGCACTGCCAGCTACTTACTCAGACATTCGCAGTTAAGTCGCCGGAGATCCGCCCACAAAATGAGAACTCGCGAGAAAACCGGGAATCTTGCGCGACACCCGATTTTGTCCCGATTATCGGGATAACACAAAAATGCATGTGTTTCTCCTACAGGCAAGAACACTATCAATATGTTGTCTAAGGCCCCGGTCAGACTTCACGCGACTTAATCGTCGCGATCTAATCGCCAAGATTTCCATTCATTTTTATTGCACATTCAAACATTTCGGTCTGGAAAAGTATCACAACCGAATGCAAGTTGATCGGCATGGAATGATGTTGTAACAGTTGTCTCGTCGCGATTCAGTCGCGACGATTAAATCGCGTGAAGTCTGCCCGGGGCCTAACGGACAACCTCTGATAGGATCTTGTCGATATTCAATTTTGAACTCGGACTTGGTTTCCGAAGCTGGCTGTACGGTGGCTCCAATTGATTTAGATCGCGACATTATCGGGACTCCCGCAAAAGCTCCCGGTTCTCTCAGAAGAAAAAATTTCGGGACATATGCGCGTGTCGCGCAGCATTAGCCCGAACGAAAACCCGGAGTCCCGGTTTTTTCGCGAACCATTTTACTTGTGTCCCGCAGTCATTCCGGCGGGACACAACTTTTTCACTGGCGGGACTTAACTGCGAACGTCTAAGTATGTGCATGGGACCACATCATAAAATCACATCTGCGGTAATATCCTACTAACGTCTAGAGAAAGATGAGAAAATTCACTCTGTTATGCGAGTTACTGCATTCTGCATTATGCTGGCGTCGTCGAAATTTATCAACTGGCGCAATATTACCTAACAACATGGCATTTCCGAGGCAGAGAAGAGCTTCACAAACTGAAAAGTTTGTATACACGCATCATTGGTTTGCGCTCGTGCAACACGACTACGGGCAAGATTTTAGGCGCTAGAAGTAATTATAACGTGCATTTCAACTCTGAATACCCATCGCTCGCAATTTTGAGACTGTCACATTGGGGCGGAGCTATGCCTAAGCATTCTAATGCTTTCTAAGAGTTTTAACGTATTGAAGAGAAGCTATCAAACTGTATATAAGAACTCCTCATGGTGACCTCTTATCACTTTCTGACAATCCTTATGTGCCATAGTTCACATTCCTGCTAGTCATAACTTGCTACTCTCAGCTTTGCGAGTACTTTCGCATTATTCAAGCATTTTCACTTGATTATCATCGTTTACACATGATAGGTACAAACAATGTATCTTGTCAGTAAGGAGACATAAGCTTTTGGCTAGTCCTAGTATGTCGTGAAGCTCCAAAATACATGCATTGCATCAGTCTCTGATGAGGTAGGCAACAGAGGTACACTATTTGATGCGATTATGATGAAAGATCAAGAATCTGTTATTGGACATACATTTAGAATCAAAAGCTACTGCATGACGAAGGCGCAGAAGCAGTATTAGTTGAGCGACGCGAACGCGATGCGCGTATCCTCACTGTTGTAAATCCAGAGCCTCATGCGCTCTGCGGCTGATAAAGCAGCGTTCGCTCCACACGACATTGCGCCTTCGTTATGCAACAGCCTGTATCTATGTCTGCTTTTCGATAATGTTAGCTATGAATTTTTCTATTGTGTTGTAACACAGTTGTGGCTCATTACACACACAGGCTTTCAAGCACATGATTTAGCTTATGACCATTACATAATCATTTTTCGCGAAGAACAGGAGAGCGCAGTTGGAGAAGCCTAGAATTTCCATTATGTCTGCTGATTGTCTTCATCATAAATGAACCAACCTAGCTCAAATAATAGTATTAGGTCGATGCAGAAGTTTTTTCCCGTTTCTTGACACCGACCCGCAGATCTCGTGCAGTGAAGAAAAACAAATATTTCAAGCATTATTCTATGCAAAAATGCTCTTTTTTATCTCTTTCTAGCATGCTTTTGAAATCGCTAAAATATGAACTCTGAAGTACCCAATTTTCGAAGTGGATCTATTCTAACATAAAATGGTAGACAAAGTACCATTCAATGCATTTTCTTCGTTTTCATCTAAGTCATCTTTCGCCGCAATACATGCAACTTTTGCAGACGAAATGTTTCCCAACGGCTGCGCACTACTGTACCCTAAACTTCAGAATTTACCTGAAGCGGCAATCGCTCATTCACCTTCTGAGACTACTAATAGTAACAAACGAGTATTAAAACCTCGATATTCCCAAAATTCTGCGATGTTGGTGCAATCACTCAGACAAACGCCGGAAAGTTCCGGAGGACATTGAGGAAAGCTCCGGCGGGTCACCTGGGGAACTCCATTGTAAGTTCCTGGGAACTTCAGCTCTGCAGCTCCCGGGAACTCCTCAAAAAATTGTAGTTTGCCGGAACTTCTTCATCCAATGTTTTCGGAAAGTTTCCAAGGACCGTAGTTTACGGGAACTTCCATAGTTGAAGTTCCCGGTAATTCTTGCTTAATTTCTCGGAATCTCAGCTAATGACCACTTTTCATGCGGTTGCCGTAAAGAACAGTCTATGTATCTATTAAGGATGAAATGTCTGCTTCGCACATGTTCATGTTCAAAATAAAAACTCCATGAAATAATTGAGTACACACGCATGGTATCTGCTGATAAAACGAAGAGAATTTTACGGCTGACGGCCTAAGTTTTTATTCCAAGCATCAGTGCTCATTCCCTCCTTGAAAGGTGCGCTTAAGTCCAACTAGAGCACCTTTCGATTTCTGAAAGTGAATATATATATATATATATATATATATATATATATATATGAATACAAATGGGAGAAAGCGAATTCTAATATACCGTCGGAGGAACGGGATAGCCATTGTACACGCGACTTAAAACCGTTTTACGACGGCATAGAGTAGTGATAGTAGCTTTACAGCGCTTCAGCAATGCCTGTTTTTGCGAAGGGATGTACTTCCTCAGAAATTCATAGAACTGTTTTCCTACAAATGAGATTCGATGAATTTTTTGCACATTTCTTGGTTTTGATTACCTTGAATGGCGCCTGAAGGCGAATGAAGTGGTCTTATCTCAGATTTTCGTACTTGAATTTGCTTGATGATTCGGAAAGCGGGCGTTTTCAACACTTAGCAGCTGTTTCAGTCAGTCCACTCCATCCTCCGGTGCTCTGTTTTCTGCAAGAAGCAAATCCATTCACACTGTCAATGTTCTTGTATTTTTTCATTGAAAGGAATCGTAGTAGTTCTTGCCTCGACATGATTTGTGGTCGCTATCTCCTCTACGAGTTGTCTCTGTGTTGCTGTAGAAGTTCCCTAATCGCAAGCGGTCCGCGCTTTGCACCACACGGGATAATCTTTTATGTCGAATTGTCTGAAGATTGCCGGAAGATGGTGCAAAGTTTCCTATAAATTCTCTTCTCGAGAATGACCAACGCGAAAACGCTAAGTTACGTGCATGGACACAACTCAGTGATCTTTTTGCAAGCGTGCGTACAAAACACCAGAAAAGCCAGAACTCCACAATTCGCGCAAGGTATGTCATTACAGCCTCCAAAAATTTACCAATTTTCAACTATACGATTAGTTACGTTTGACAAATCTTACGGCTCAGATAGCACAGGTGGTGGTGTTTTTGCACGAGCATAGTGTGCGTTTCTTTCCAAATCAACTCAGTGAACTAACGCATTTACAATGCAGCTTTTCTACGCAAAGAGATTTTCACTCACTTGAAAACGGTTGCGATGGAGTTCTACACTTTTCCGCATTGTCGACGGACATGTTGAAACGGGCTCTCTACGTCGTATTCTCTATGAAGAAAGTGATCTCAAAATTATCGAGTCATTTATTATCAAACTATAGCTTATCTCAAAGTTGGGGCTACCGAGCTAAAAAATAAGTGCGCAGGGGTAGTTGAAGACGCTGGTAAAAAATATGAAGTTAGCCTTTTTGACAGTTTTTTCCAAACCTTGATATGAGATGCCAGGAAGCTTATTATCGTAATCAGCACCCTCACTTATCCCTAAGCACCAAATCCCCCCGTGTCTACAAATTCTGATAAAAACTGATAAACTGATAAATTGATAAGGGCCATTATTTTTTGAGATCATCACCCTCACTTACCCCTGAGTACCAACTCCCAGCCCCGTGGCTATAAATTTTGATAAAAACTGATAAACTAATCAACCGATGAGAGCCACTATCTTTATCGAGGTCATCACCTTCACTTACCCCTGGGTACCAACTCCCAGCTATAATTGAATAGTGACAAACTGATAAGCAATCAGATCTTCCAAACAGCCAAAATGAACTATCCGTTGTTGAAGCCATAAGGCGTAGGATACCCTCCCCTCTCCCCTCCCCCCCCCTTCCTCCTTCCCCGCTCATAAAGGATCTGCATTAATCGTAAGTCCCGTTAAACCACTTCAACTTCCTCATCATGACCATGAATATGGAACATGCTAAAACTTACTCTGTTCATGGACCTTAATGGAAAGTTCCGTGTAAGTGCGCCTTGGAGTAGATGTTGTTGAAGTGCAAGGCAGGTTTTCGTCGGCCATGATACCTAAACATACTACAGTGAAAGTCATCAAGCGTGATATGAAAGCCAGCTCATGGAACTTCCCCTGTTTCTAACTTTCGTAGTATCTGAAAATGAGCTTTAGCAGACACAACTAAGGCCCGTATGCATGTACATCCCCGCTGGGGAGGGGAGGGGATCTGAGAGGGGATGCGTCATATTTCGTTGCTTTAGGAACTTTTCTTCTTCCTTCTCTATATTAGAGTATGGAGGTTCTCATACTCTAATACCTGCGCATAATTGATGCCAGGTCTGGCATAATGATTAGATTTTCACTATTTTTGTGATCCCATGATGATGCCTGGGGATCATAGGGATCACCTCAAAACTTCAATGCCATCTTCATGAAAATCAATGAAAACGCTGTAAAATTGTACTGTGAATCTACCACCGCACTGCTTAAAATGTTTATAGTATTAGGTCGTTCCGAATGTAATGCCGCTTTATTCGAACGTACGTCACATCTCGAGGAACAAAGATGTGTAGAAGATTCTCGTAGCGTTTGATGCAACACTTCATTCTCTTACTAATGGTTATATAACCACTGCACAAAAGTCAATAACCTCTCGAAAAATCATCAAAATCTGCGACCCAAGCTTTTTGAGAAGGCCAAGTTTCACAGTTTTTCTAAATTTTTATATCAACCCTCGGAAGGAGTCCAAGTAATGGATGGATAGAGCAAACTCTACAGGAAACTGCACAACTTTTTACTACTTTTCGGAGCTCGTCATAATTTTTGTATACATTTTTGATGGAACCACCGAATTTTAGCAGGCTCGTCTTAGACACAAATGCACCAAACACCAATAAATCTTCGGAATTTTGAACTTACAAAAATGGATTATGGTTTGACACTAATTTTACAAGTCAAAGGAGCATTCACCGTTTCAGATCAGCAACTTTTGAAAGTTCCGTGTACAGCCTGAGTCGCCCTGGAAAGCCTGAATTACGATGATTTTACCCCGGCATTTGATGAATCAGTAACAAAAAACAAGTGGTAGAAAGAGAAGAAAAAGCTGCGCCAAATGACACCCGAGTTGCTTGTCGGTTGTTGTTCTGTGAGGTTTGAGTTGACCAAATATGGGATCTAATAGCATTGAAAAATTGATTCCAAAAACTCTAAGAAGCAAGCTAAGGAAAAGAAAAAATAAATGTGTGCCCTATAGGGATTGCTCTATCTAACTGTCACTAGTACTTCCTCGGAGAATAGGAACAAAAACTGAGAAAAATAGCCAAACTTGACCATGGCAAAAAACCTGAGTCGCAGATTTTGGTAATTTTTTGAGAGCTCATTGAATATCATGCAATGAAATTACAACCATTAGAAAGAGGATGAAATGCTACATCGAATGCCTCCAAGATCTCTTGAAAATCTTGATTCCATGGAATTTGGCGTTCATTTGAACCGACATTACTTTCGGAACGACCTAATAGAAACAAGGGAAATTTCAGGGTATCGAAAGCTTCGATAATCCCTAGCTCGCGAGCCAGGGATCATCGAAAAATTCACACTTCACATTCCATTTCTCCTATCGATCGAAAATATGCTTAGCATTGCCGTAGTATATCCACAGTACACTTTTGTAGCGTTTTCGTTGACTTCTCAGGAGGATAAATTACTTTAAAATTGAGAGGTGATCCCTCAGGGATCCCCTAGGGATCCCCAGGAGACCACACAAAATGGCAAAAAAACCCTATGAGCAAAGCTCAAGTGAGGCGGAGTTTACCCTCACAAAATGATGCATTACAGAACAAATTCTGGTACTTTTCCGTAATCCGGACCCATTTTCTGAAAGGGCTCTCATGAAATACGCTATTAAGTTAGAGAACAATTTTTTATAGTTTCTAAGAGGACAGCCCCTGCCACGTGTCAAGAAAAAATTGACATGTTTTAGTCCCGTTGAACACGTTTTTCTAAATCATTTCCGGCAAGGTAAAAGAGCATTTGTAGTCACATAAAAGCTATTTATTTGTTTTCTATAAAAACAAATCAATTTGGAACTCATTTTAGAACATCTTGTTGCTTTCAGCAATGATTCAAAAAAGTCTTTCTTTTCAAACTCTGTCCGTCTTGCGAATTTAGCCAGGATAGACTATAATCAATGTCTTGAAGTACCTCGCTACTGATTGTTTCGTCATTGAGATGATGGAAATCTGGTGCAATTCTCTATTCTGGGCAAGTCCAATCTGTTCATTGATAACAGGATCACGTTATTATCTTAATAATGTTCATTTCTGAGTTGTTTAATCGAAAATGGTGACATTATCGGCTGAAAAACAATCAGATAACGTCACTAAGTAGGAAAAAACAAAACTAATGGTAAAACCTGCTAAACATGTAAGTACATGTTAAATTTTTTTGACACGTGGCAGAAGGTTGGCACTCCTTCCTGTGAAGTTGGGACTAAGTCTGGTACAAGGAAAGAAGCACTATCCTTCTTTGAAAAAATGGATCCGGATAACGGAAAAGTACTAAAATTCTTAATGACAACAACTAACAAGGCTTTAGTGACTATAACTTGCACTTCTAGAAATCTAATGCGTAGCGCAAAAGTCATACATCTTATATCAATAAATACTGCTGGCCCAACAATATCCGTAATATCAATCTACTTCAAACCATAAGAAAGTATCTTATGGAAGTGTACTTTGGGATGAATTATAATAGTAAATTAAAGTGTGAATTACTATGGGAAACCAAGTGAAGAATTTGCGAGACGGAATCACTTCCAATGTCTCCATAAATTGTGCAAGGTTTTGGAGTGGAACTGTTGTTGCAAAACGTTCGATGAGGGCAGATGATGTGTGTGTACACATTTGAAAGCTAATCAGAAGCAATTTGTAAAGGAAAAGAAGAAGAAAAAGGAAGAAAAAAGAAATACGCACGATAATGCCCGGATTAGGGACGTCAGATTGAGTGAAGACGATAGATAGAAATACATAAGAGCAAAGACGAGTAAAGAAACAAAATAGAAATAAGAGTAGGGAGAAGAGGAAAAAAGAAGGAGGAGAAGATAAAACAGCCACTAAAAGCGTCCCATAACTTTTCAAAAAGCATCGAAGAGCAAGAGTGCGACAGGAAAAACAGGACAATTGAGTGCCTACCTTCTTTACTCTCATTTGGATCATGCGAACAGCTTCTCCTACATCGCTGCTTCTCTCGACTTGGTTGTACTTGAAAAGGGAAACTTCGTTACAAACAACTGATAAAAGAAACATCGGTAGAGGTACGAACACCTTAATTAGGCACTGCCTCCGCGGGCTGCTGGTCCTTTCGTCCTACTGTTGTGCATCGTGTTAGGAGCAGTAGTCCGCGGAGGCGGTCTTTAATTGAGGTGCTCGTTCCTCTACCCACGAAACATGAATTTACCTCCAAACGAGATCCCAAATGCAGCATTGTGCATTTCGACATCCGCTCCTCAAGGGCGCGCCCTCGAAACATGGTCCCGCGCCGATCGGTCGGCTAGCACGACATTGTTCGCGGGAATTTTCATTTAGTGTAGTTTACGGGGACTTTTCTACCTTTGCCAAAGTTCCCAAGGCTTCCTCCAGAACTTTGCATCCGCCCCTCCCTTGAGCTGTAAATCACGGAAACTTTTTATTTTTTATGCTCCAATGGTTAACAAGGTCCTCCAAAACTTCAACAACTTTCGCATGTTCGCCGGAACTTCCCGGCGTTCATCTGAGCACATGTTGTGCAAGTTTTTTAGGACTTTTTTTCAGAACTGATACTTTGAGAAAATCATTCAGTTGAACTCTAGAAATAAAGTTAGAACATGAAAATTGAGTTATGTTGCAAAACGTTTGCACTGTTAGATAGCTATCAGAGCACCTTCAAAATCTCGAATAAAAGCTCTAAGAATTTGCGAAAAATAGCCATGTTGAAAATGAAGGGTCGTAATTTCCGGCGATTCTCTCCGCACCCATCGCATAAGTGGCATTGGAAACATACTGAAAAGAGAAGGAAATTCCCCACTGAAAATCACTTGAAGTATTTGCTCCACTCTAGAATTCAAGGGCTGGTCCAAAAAACTGAAAGTGCTGCACCAACCTGGTATAATTATAACAATTTGAAGTTATAAGTAAAAAGCTCACAAAATTCTCAACACATTTATTTGAAGCCTAATTAATGCAAACTAGGAATATGTTTAGATAGTGTTCTAGCATTACGAACCCTGTTACTCAAGCTTTTGAGATGAGAAAGGGTTTATGAAGCAATTAGAAATTTCAAAAAAGCAGATGTATGCTTCATAGGTGTAGGAAACTCGTTTTATTCTTGCTAGAACAGCTGCTTAGGGTAAGTAGTTCATCAATTCTGAAAACTTTACATGCAAAGGATTTTGCATCGAATTTGATAAAACGCCTCAAGTGACGTGAGGTAGACTTGGCACTACCGTTTCAGGCTTCAAAAGAGTTAGGTTTTGTGGTAACTTACTTTGATATACAAAAACATCTCCGTTAAGTGTGGAAAACACAAAACGCCAAGACTAGTGGAAATTTCATTTTTGGCAGGAAAACCGTAAAGGTGTGAAAAAATGGATACAGTCTAGAAGCACGTTTTCGAGGACATTGTTGTGCCATTCTCACACCACTAGGTCGACACTTAAGTCTTGTAGCTTCGTCTTTGACTTCTTTATTTTAGAATAAGGAGCACTAATGTCTGGCAATGTGTAGGCTACGACCCAAGTTTTAAAGCCTTCATAAAATAGTGGCAAAGAATCGGCTGCCTTTGCGTCCACTTAATTGTACAAGAGTTTAAAATGCTCAAACAAGATGTACTAAATTAGTGTTCAGCTCAGCCTCTTTAAGTACAAAGCTGTCACATACATGCAAAAATTTTTCGAGTAAGGATCGGGAAAGGCCATTTATTTGGTTATTCGAGCAGTCGAATGAATGAAAAAGGCCTTTATTGGTTTCTCATAAGACTTCGTGCTCGAATGTCGATAAATCTTGGCATAGTAGCTCAAGTCGTACATTTTCTAAGCCGTCGACCAAGGTTGGTAGCAAGACTTTATCAAACAATAAGCCAAACTATGAGCAAGCTCATAGCTGCGCTAGAGTGAGTATAGTAGCCACTTGTAGCGCAGCTGCAGCGCCGTACTGCTTGTTCGGTCTTTGAATCCCGAATCGGGATTCCCGATTATATCTCTATCTGCGTCTCTTCACTCTAATCTATCTCGCTGAGGGAGCCAGCGCCAGCTGGTACGGACTGCTTCACTTGATGTTTTGTTGAAAGGACTGTACAAACAAACATTCAGTTTTATATATGAGGTGACTGAACCATCACATTACATGTACGATGGTTTTGACCAACTAAAATACCACCGTAGGTTGTTGACAGCGAATAAACTTTGAGGAAGTAGAATAAAATTGTGGGCATGTGGGAAAAGTTGTGGAAAAGAACAGGATAGGAAATCTTGAGATTACTAGCCTTAACTTCCAAAGCTTGTCCCCGTGACACAGATTTTTGTTTCCTCCATCTGCAACCTGCGCAAATTCTTTGCTGAATATTGACCCAGTTTGAAGTGGAATGCTACACAAAACGGAAAGATCTGAAGATATTGTGAACTTGAACGTGAAGAGAGGTATGGCAAATAACTGTGAAGATTAAAAGTTTTGTTACAAAAGGGTTTGCATCCATCAATATGAACGCTTAAATTCATAGATGATTGGTACTTCTCAATTATGTGAACCAGATACCATCCAATGATCAACGCAGAACACAAAAATGCTTATTTATCTCGCATCGCCATCTTATTGTTAGTCTGCTTATTTGAGAATCAAATCGTTGTATAACCATTAAACAACACACAAATTATAAAGCAAGCGCCCAGGACAGGCTCATGAAAATCTTGATCGTTGCATTATTCTCACTGACAGAAGCATTTCGACACCCAAACAACAACAAGCTAATCTTCAGGTCTGTTAATCCTCTTCGAAACTTGTTTGAAAGTGTTGATTTTACAGAAATGCGGATCAATCTCACACAACCGATCTCGATCGCTCTAACGCAGGTTCGTCAAACATCATTTTCAGTGTTTAGGGATGCAACGTTGGCATTTAAGTTTGAATTTCTAAGAGAAGCTCGGGGGCGATGAGTTTTTTGAGGACATTTGAATTCCTTTTATCATGGTTGATAAAGCCCACCCACCTTACCTTTTCACAGAAACTTTGATTTAACAATTATGGTACACTCATAGTTGAGCACTAATAGTTCCAGACAAGCACACTTATTTATATTATCAGAGGTGCACAAAATAACTTTGCTTGTTCACGTCAAAATTACTTTTTAGGATGCCGCGATCACTGCGAAGTTGGATGGACATATTTTGACGAAACGGACGCCTGCTATAAGGTTAGGGGTGTGAAGTATTATTCATTTATTTGTACTTTTCATTTTTTGCATCGCAGCATGAAATAGCAAACAAATTCGCGTTGACCACGTGATGTACCATTGCGTAAAATTTGCATAAATGCCAACTTGCTTCCTTTGTCCCATATATGAAATTGAAGTTGCCGATCCGGACCAAACTTTGTACATATACACATCGGGGAGAGACGGGTCGTAGGCAAATTCATCTATCAACATCGATTTTGCCATTTTTTTTGACATTAACTCAGACATTTGTGGTTAACTAGTAAGGGTTTTATGGGACTTTTAACTACGGGACTAAAAAGGCAGTTTTGCGCGGAAACCCGATTTTGTCCGAGCTTAGGCCTAAGGCATACCTCACGCGATTCGGCCGAATCACCACTTTCACGCGACTTGACGATTTGCCAGATTTCTACGAATTTATCGTGCGCGCTTCACGAACTCATATTTGGGTTGCCTGTGTAAGTTGTTGCAAACGCATCAAGTTCTGACCAAAGGCAGCGCATTGACGACAAATAATGAAGAGTCGCTGATGTGCCAAATCGCGTAGCCATCGGAATCGCGCGAGGTATGCCTTAGGCCTTAGGGTCATGCATTTATCGCGCGATTTCATCGTCCGGGCTCTAAGGTCGGGACTAAATCTTGTTCTCGCGCAAGACCACCTTTTTTTCGCGATTTTCATTTTCATGTGAGTGGACTCTTAACAACGAATGTTTGAGCAAGCTGCGGGGCTACGAGCCGGTACAGGGCAGGGAAGAGATAAATAAATATTGATCAACGAAACACGGGGCAGGGAGCTGGCATACAGAATTGAGACAAATCCAGGTAAAGTTGTGTAGAAGTGGGACGTACTGATGAATATGTCTTATTGAAGGACCGAGCAAAGCTTGGAATTCTTCTGCTTGCTAGCTTTAAAACAACATGGTAGCTGAGCTTTCGCAAAACATCAAAATTTTCAAATTACCCCAATATACAAAGCATGTAATTTATAGATCAAATGCCTTTTATCTTCAAAAGAGATATTTTTAGTGTCGGTGGTATGCCGTGCCAAGCTAAAATAGATTTGATGAGTTTTCATTGGATCTGACGTTAGTTTAATGCCTTCTTTGTCCTCTATTTAATACATTAGCTTCATTCGATTCTGAGCAATACACCGTCAAGAGTCTCTTTCCGATTTGTCAGCCCAAACCCGAGTAAAGAAAGTGCGAGAACACTAAGGCTCCAAAAATGACCCAAAAATAAAACTCATAGATACAGTCGAGTAGATTTTCCGCTTAATACAGTACTGGACATAATTATACAACCGCTCTAGAAATCGTCGTAATTTTTGTTCTTGTCAATGAATCTGTCTGAAACTTTGCTGTATTGTGCGCATGTCAACCTACCATAACCCCTCAAAACGGCTTCCAGTCTTGTTGAGTTTGAACGGAAAAAAACGAAAAAAATCGGAAAAGCCCTCTTTGAAAGCTGGACAAGATTATACAGCCACCTGGTTTTTCTAATCACTATCACATTCGTTGACTCTCAAATTTTTTTGTACAATTATATCCCAAAATATGAAAAATTTGCGACACTTACGGCCTTTCTTCCTATTCAAATAGAAGCAATCGCTGCATTTCTTGCTTTCAAAAGCATTAAAAGTCTATCTCCTTCAACAAACAACTGCTTTAAAGAGTTTTCAAGCTCTTGTTCATTCCAAATGATAATCATGGAATCTACTGACCCTTCTGGATAGATGAGGTGAAGAGCGCTTTCGTAAACTCTGCGTAATCGCTGATTTTGACGAACAGACTCCAACCTCACCATAGAGTTGACGCACTTTTGCACCACGAAACTCGACATTCAGCAACAAAAGATACTGTAATGTAGCCATTACGACAGCCATACAACAGTGAATTCGTGTGCATGACTGGGAAGAAATTTCGGGATTGAGCACTCTGGTTCAGGCGCAGTTGACATCCACTGAATGTTGAGTGGTGCACCGTGCACAATCAAAGCCAACTCAGATCACGAGATAAAACCGGAGACGCTCAAAACTTCAAAATCTTAGCTAATCCCATCCATTGGGTGAAATATGACATGAAACACAGAGGGAAATAAGGAGATCTAGGGTTATATCGAATCTTCCGCTCGCAGGGAATTTTTGTGGAAAGTATTCCAGGTCTAAATTGCTACCGCATCATTAGGAAAAATCTGAAAGTTGCTGCGAAAGCTGTATCCCCATGTAGACAATGTGATAAATCAAGTTCAGCACTTCGTGGACATTGCAAACTGAGTTTTGTGGTTTAAAAGCGTTCCGAGCCTATGTTGAGGTTGGAGTCTGTCCGTCAAAATCAGCGATTACGCAGAGTTTACGAAAGCGCTCTTCACCTCATCTATCCAAAAGGGTCAGTAGATTCCATGATTATCATTTGGAACGAACAAGAGCTTGAAAACTCTTTAAAGCAATTGTTTGTTGAAGGAGATAGACTTTTAATGCTTTTAAAAGCAAGAATGCAGCGATTGCTTCTATTTGAGTAGGAAGGCAAGCCGTAAGTGTCGCAAATGTTTCATATTTTGGGATGTAATTGTACAAAAAAATTTGAGAGTCAACGAATGCGATAGTGATTAGAAAAAGCAGGTGGTTGTATAATTTTGTCCAGCTTTCAAAGAGTGCTTTTTCGATTTTTTTCGTTTTTCTCCGTTCAAACAACGAGACTGGAAGCCGTTTTGAGGGGTTATGGTAGGTTGACATGCGCACAATACAGCAAAGTTTCAGACAGATTCATTGACAAGAACAAAAATTACGACGATTTCCAGAGTGGCTGTATAATTATGTCCAGCACTGTATAGTGTGCTTACACAGAAGGTGAAATGCGGTGAGATTTTCTCATGAACAAATAGCTTCGACTGTGACGCCGGTCGATTGCGCGAACATTCCGGCTGTACTGTAGTGGCCATTTATTCACGCGCAAATTTCACGGCATTTCACCTTCTGTGCAAGCACACTATATCAAGCGGAAAATCTACTCGACTGTAAATGTCTGCTAATTAGCAGTGACGTTGATTTTTCATCTTTCGTTGTGTGATCTCACGGCCGCACATAGGAGCCTTGACACTCTGGTTGAAATCAATGATGTCCGTTACAAGACGCGCGGACTCATTGGAATGCGGATCAATATGGGTTTGTTTTTAACCTTGAAATTGTGCTCTGCTGGACCTTTGATAAGGTCTAGATTGGCAAAGTGGAAGGACGCGGTGGTGCATTGAAGATTCAATCAAGTCTATAATCTTGAAAATCGTTGAGTCCTGTGACCCACCGCACCCTGATATAGCACCGCGTATCACAGACACATAAATTAGGACGAAAGGAGTACAGCTGTCCTGTAATCTTTCGGGTAAGGAAAACAAGGCATGATCGCAACGAGAAACTTTGGTGTCGCACTCATTTTTTGTTCCTACTCCTTCAACGATGCCAATAATGGTCAGATTAAGATAGTAATCTATGATCACGCGATAATGTAAACTAGCGTACCATATTTTACCTGATTTTGCAGTGAATATTTTAGCAGTTTAAAATCATAAGTAAGAATTACGCTTGGAAATACATGGGCCACACTTTTGGCTGAAAAATCTACAGTTTAAAACGACAACAAAAATTTCTGACTTGTGCATCGGTATCTACCCACCTGGTCGCATCATGGATACCGACAAGTTGGCAGACATGCAAGATATGCAGGACGTGATTTCGTTTGTAGGAAACAGCCAAAGAAGTTGTGAGGGCTTCATATCTCAAACCGCAGTCGCAGCATACTCCTGCGTCTGGTTCAGTTGAAGCGAGGCACACTTAGCACACAGTACTTATATGTACAGTACTCAAGCTACATTATTCACACATCAGGATAAGAGTCTCATGATCGCTAACAGAGATATTTGAAGAATTTCTTCCGTGCTACCTTTCAAACTGCCGAAAACCTGTGTAAAACTCTTGGAGGACATTTGACTTCGATCCACAGTTATAACGAGAACCTCTTCGTGGCTGGTAAATTTATTTTGTGTAGTTTGGATGTGAGGTCCCAACTCATTATATTCAGAGCTTGCAAAATCGGGTAGAAAAATAACTGATACTTTCACGCAGGGGACTTGGATTGGTCTGGAACGCTATGATCATTTAAACTGGACCTGGACTGACGGCACAAAGGTTGACTTTCTAATATGGGCTCCGGGTCAACCAGATAACTTTCGTGGAGTACAAAAATGCGGGCAGGTAACACTTTCAAATGAATAATTCTGAACTATTGGGGCAGGGATGCTTTTTAAGACAGCAAGGAGAGCTACATTTGGGTTGGGTGAACTTATGTTGTTCGGCTAACACGCAAAACTCAATCAGCCACATTAAGGCGGGGTGTTTCTTCGAATAAGACGTTCGCCTCCATTGTTTTCAATTCCCGCGTATACCAAACAGCGTAATCGCTCCCAGCTTTAGGCCTCGGACAGTTCACGCGATTTAATCGGCGGTATTCTTCGCTACAAGACAAGTGTTACGAGTTCATTGCATGCCGATCTTCTTGTATTTTGGTTGACTTAGTCCGATTAGTCGTGTGGAAAACTATAACAATCAAATGCAAGATGGTAGTCGTGCGCAAAACTATAACAACCAAATGCAAAATGGTCGGCAAGCAATAGACTCGTAACTGTTTGTTATCTCGGAAGAATCGCGGTGATGCGCGTGAACTCTGCACGAGGCCTTTCGTCGCGATTCAGTCGCTACAAGACAACTATTACGAGTTCGTAGCATGCCGATCAGCTTGCGTTTCGGTTGTGATAGTTTTCCACACGACTAATCGTGACTAAGTCAACCAAAATACAAGAATATCGGCATGCAATACTCGTAACATGTCTTGTAGAGAAGAATAGCGACCATTGAATGAACTCTGTCCGAGGCCTTAGATGGAGAGGGGCATTGCGATCTTGCGGACTTGGACCGCTCTAGTTTTGTGAGATAGGGAAGATCAGTGATTTATCAAGTAGTAATGCTTCGCTCGTTCAATGGCTGATGCGGTAAAACAAATTCTCTTTTTTTTTTAATCAAAAACAATCAAAATTCCTCTTTCAGCTTTCAATAGATTATTAATGTCACATGAAACCTATGAGAAGAGCAATTGGCTATCTAAAAAACTGTCACTGTCTGAGCATCGTTATCCTGCCCTACCGTTCCCTTAATCCTTTTTCATGTTTTGAATAACTTATCGAATTCAAGTTTCTATGATTTCTGTTTCAGGTGTGGCCAGACCCAGATGTAGACGAATCCAAGGCTCTAACCTACCAAAGATGGGACGATTTACATTGTTACATTGAAAACAGATCGTTTGTGTGCAAGAAGAAGCCTTTGCACTAGTTGCGAAACAAAAACGCGTTTGACTGCTGTGAGTGAAAGTCTGTACAACAATAAATTTTACAAATAACAATAAACACTCAATAAATTTTCTTTGATCTAAGAAGTTTCCTATGTATACACAACCGCGAAGACAGTGAGACAGGTTGAAAAAAAAAGCTAGGGTTTTGTAGGAATCCTTGACTGTTTGTGGTTTGCGAGGAAGAAAATTTTCAGGTTCTAGTAAGACTTAAAAAACTGGAATTAAACTCGCACAGTCTTTGCTTCATTCCCATTCTAATCATAGTGGGAACAAGTTTTTTAGCAGAGCACCATTTGCATTCGAAACTAATGAACAAACACCCTAGAACTTACACATCGTAGCCTACCGATAGCCTAGGAAGAACATCTATACGTGCAACAAACTTTCTGTGAATACATAGTATACTCGACCAATCGAAAAATGTGTGAAGTAAAGTTACAAACCTTTACACTGGGAGCCTGACAAGCCGATGTCCCACCGGATTTGAAGTATGTTGGATTTGTGGAATTTTATTAAGAATTACCTTATTATGATTACGCCCAAGTCACATTACAAGCCCTCTCCTACGCCGAAAAAACTGGGCTCAGAGTGGCTCGCGCAGCGCATTTCGGTGCGCGCTGGGAGACTTTTCAGACAATCAAAGGCTCTCAGCCGGCCCCACCAAAAGCGTCGTTGCCTTATCGCCGCCACTTTTCGCTTCCCGCTGAAAAACTTTGCTAGAATTGGCAGCGAGCGGGCTGCCATATCCTCAGCGCGAAGCGAAAGTGGCTGCCATGCTTTAACGACGCCACATTCGCTTCGCGCTGAAGACTTTATGGCAGTCCGCTCGCTGCCAGTTCTGGCAAAGTTTTCAGCGGGAAGCGAAAAGTGGCGGCGATAAGACAACGACGCTTTTGGTGGGGCCGGCAGAGAACCTTTGATTGTCTGAGTTGTAGGTTTTCCTGCCGCGAATCAGCACATTTCAAGAGACGCTTCCCTTCTTGCGTGTTCAGCCTCGCCGCCAAAACTGAGGTAGAGCAGAGAGCTCGCCCCCATTGCTTCTAAGGGCTTCGGGAAACGGGATTTTGGGATTTTTGCGAGGATTTGAGGCCGCATAGGGTTATACATCTGGAAGGCTTATAATGGAAATTTCGCGCCTACTCTGGTGAGACACTGCCTTCGAGCGGTCACACCTCCGCCTGAAACCAGGAATCAAACACCCTGCGTCAAATTATTGCATTCGTTGAGCGAAAAATCTCATTATGTTTTATATAGAATGTTAAATTCCCAGAATTTCCGTTGGGGGGGGGGGCAAAAATTTTCTTTCAAGTAAAGCTGCGTGGCATTCGACGCAAAAATTTTTTTGGATTACCAAGATTTTGCGGGCTCATGTGCCCAAACTATTAGAAAAAAATTTTCGTTCAAAGCTTCAAAAGTCTTTTTATTATTCAGAATTATAGACAAGTTACTTGCACAATATTATAACCTACTAGCTGGCTTACCCGGCTCCGCCGTACCCGGACCAAACTTGGCACACATACACTTCGGGCCCCGGCGGGTGTCACAGTCCACTTTTCGTTATCGATCGATGTCGATTTTACCGATTTTTATCGATTTTTTTGCAGAGTTCACCTACAGGGCTAGGAGTTGGCACAGGGGGGGGGGGGAAGTGAGCATGGGGATTCCGAATACAATATTAGTTTTCAGAATTATCGATTACTTTTATTGATTTTATCGATTTTTTGTAAATTTTGACATGCGAGGCTGGAATTTTGCACAGGGGGGTAATCGAGCATGCTGATTACGAACACAATATTAGTTTTCAGGATCATCCATTTTTATCGATTTTATCGATTTTTTTGTAAAGTTTGACCTGCGGGGCCCCTGGCTCAAACTTTGCAAAAAAATCGATAAAATCGATAAAAGTAATCGATAATCCCGAAAACCAATATTGTATTCGGAATCCCCATGCTCGATTCCCCCCTGTGCCAACTCCCAGCCCCGTAGCTCAAACTTTGCAAAAAAATCGATAAAATCGATAAAAGTAATCGATAATCCTGAAAACCAATATTGTATTCGGAATCCCCATGCTCGATTACCCCCCTGTGCCAACTCCCAGCCCCGTAGGTGAACTCAGCAAAAAAATCGATAAAAATCGATAAAATCGATATCGATCGATGACGAAAAGTAGCCTATGACACCCGCCCGGCCCCGATGGGTATGTGTGCCAAGTTTGGTCCGGATCGGTTGAGAAATAAAATTTTTTATTCGGAACATACGTACATACATACAGACATACATACAGACAGACATACAGACATTCAGCTTTATATATAAGATGCAAGTAACTTTCGAAAACTCCACGACCCATTATCGGAAAGGAAGAAGGGAGGGGCCTACCGTCATTGGGTGCAGACAAGTTCTCTATTCAAAGGAAATCGAGAAGCTCTAGCCGGTCACTCCTTGAATTCGTCAAATAGCTGGTCTTTAATTTTCGAAAAGACAGCGTTTTGAGATTGCATCATTTCAAATAAGTACCAGTTCCAAAGAGTGTAATTTTTGTATCGGTTATTTTCATTGGAAATCCTGATATGAGACAAAGAAAGAGTAGTGTACCATAATGAACGCAAAAAAGTAGCTAACTTTTTTTAAACTTAGTTAACCAGACTCAAAAATGACTATCTCACTTAGGTGGTCTGAAATTTGACAACCTCAGAAATCGTCAAACCTGATCTACAGGGTTTATCTGACACGATACTGCGAATGTCGATAGGACCTTTATGTTCTGACACCAGGTAAGCGATAATTCTGGAAAAGGGGGGGGGGGGGAGCTGCGGATAGTGAGACAATTATCATTGTCAGCGCGTGGGTCGTAACCAACGGTCGTGTGCCACACCTCTCCTGCTCAGCCCTGCTGATTAATTACTTTGCTCAAACAATAGGTCAAGCAAATTTTCAAGTAAGCTGCAGCTAATATAGAAGGACTTTAATTCAGTTTGTTCGAGAATATGCCTTCACTATTGAGTTCTTCTGTGCCGTACATACAGGGTGTCCCAAAAGTATGTATCGAACGTTTGATCGTTAATATCTCTCTTCCCAAGAAGTCTTTTGCCTTGCTTCAAGTACCATTTTGTAGAGCTAGCTTCAACTTAGATTTGCATTATAGAACGAATCACTCATTCCTCTTCATTACTGTAGGATTACGGTAGAAACTTCAAAGAGGGTTTTAAGCAATGAAAGGCCATATTTTGCCTTAGAAAGGAAATAAAACAGCCTGAAAGTTTTCACACTAGGCTAATTAGAGTTGCTGATTATAACTGTAAAGTTCCCAACTTATTATGATGCTTCATTGAGGAGTTATGCCAGGTAAGAGGTAGCGGCCATTTTTTCAATGTTCCTAAAAAGTGCGATTACACCGTTTAGAAAGCTTTGTAATCTTGTGAATAGTTGAGTATTGAACTCAGCATCCATAAAAACCCTATTACACAAGTTTTCACAATTTTTTGAAGAATTTTGGAACTGCAGCTTTTTCCACATTGACACCATATGTTTCAAGTTTCTACCGTAATCCTACAGTAATGAAGAGAGATGGGTGATTCGTTCTTTAATGCAAATCTAAGTTGAAGCCAGCTCTACAAAATGGTACTTGAAGCAAGGCAAAAGACTTCTTGGGAAGAGAGATATTAACGATCAAACGTTCGATACATACTTTTGGGACACCCTGTATTTTTAACAGTGGCACACATTATCATAGCCTATTGGTTATACTCTTTCTCAGAAGCTCGCAAGGGAGACAGTCACATCATATCACCCTAATTGCCGCCAAGCCTTTCTTCCATCAGTTTTTGATACCACTGAGGTCGAGATTATGGACGTAGAGATCTAAATGAATGTATTACCTTGCAGCAGTATGTATCTGCTACAGAAGTTGCTCAATAAACTGTAGTGTCGAGATGAGCAGTGTATTGGATAAAAGAGCTTAACTATGGACAGGCTCAATAGTATGAGACTGCTAGAGTGTAAATAGGTCGACGCACGGGCACATGGTTCGCATAGCGCGTTGTTCGATTTCCTTTCTGAAGCAAAATGTAAAACTTAATGGCTCAGTTCCCTTTTCAGAGTTTCTACCGTAAACACACAATAGGACAAAGAGATCGGTGATTTGCTCTTTACAGTAAACAAAGTCGAAGTCAGCTCTAAAGTGGAACCCAACACCTCGAAGCATTTCATGAGGAGAGAGAGATATTAACAATCAAACAATAGGCCCTTTTTAGGACATCTGTATGTTCGATTGTTTTATTTCGAGAAAAATATGAAAGACCTTTTTCAAAGTACTGTACTTAAAAGTCACGGCTAATTACGTCATAATCAAACCATCTTTACAGGGTATCCCAAAAGTCTTGTGGCCCAAGTTTGCATCGCTATAATTTATGAACCACTGGTAGTTTTGATTTCAAGTTTATGCTACAGAGTGCTGCAATCATTTTTTACAATATACATTTTTGCATAACCAAAATGGCTTCCGTATGTTTTTGAAAAAAAATGATATTATCGAACCATGACTTTTTGAAAGCCACAAAAATTTACTTAGGCTTACAATTTATTCTGCAGCTTGAAATATTTAATACATTCTGGCACAATTTCATGTCCACATCGTAGAGAAGGCTTTGCACTACTGTCACTATGGTAGCTGCACTCAAAAATCTAATCCATCGAGACAGGCGAAAAAATTTGGAAATTTCGTTTCGATTGCATGCCACGACCACTATATCTTCACAATTGATTCAAGTCTGTAGTGGTGAGCCAGTCACTGAATTTAGAAAAGTTACTCTCCATATGTCTTCTAAATGGGATTTAGTTTAACTTGAATGACGAACTATGTTTTAAACCCATTGTAGACATTTTTCTGTTTTGATTTCCCGATATAGTGTCCAAAAGCCCCAGCGTGAGGCTTACGCATGCCTGCATTGAAATTCCTATAAATTTGATCCTAAATTTTCAGAAAAAAATTTTCGTAGCCTGTTGTAGCTGGAAACTTGCTCTATCATACCGCACAATTTCTATGCAATAGGGACTATTTCCTTAAAGGCGAGGGAAG